CAGGAGGTGCATGGAGGGACAGGAGGTGCATGGAGGGACAGGAGGTGCGTGGAGGGGCAGGAGGTGCATGGAGGGACAGGAGGTGCGTGGAGGGACAGGAGGTACACAGAGAAACAGCTAGGAGGGGTAGGAGGTGCATGGAGGGACAGGAGGTACACAGAGAAACAGCTAGGAGGGGTAGGAGGAGGTGCATGGAGGGACAGGATGTGCATGGAGGGACAGGATGTGCATGGAGGGATAGGAGGTGCATGGAGGGACAGGAGGTGCATGAAGGGACAGGATGTGCACGGAGGGACAGGAGGTACACGGAGAAACAGCTAAGAGGGGCAGAAGGGACAGGAGGGGCCAGGGAGGTGCATGGAGGGGCAGGAGGTGCATGGAGGGACAGGAGGGCATGGAGGGACAGGAGGGCATGGAGGGGCAGGAGGTGCATGGAGGGGTAGGAGGTGCATGGAGGGACAGGAGGTGCGTGGAGGGGCAGGAGGTACACGGAGAAACAGCTAAGAGGGGCAGAAGGGACAGGAGGGGCCAGGGAGGTGCATGGAGGTGTACCTGAGGCCCTCTTCCACGCGCCGTCCACCAGGACCGTGCGGCTGCGCTCAGCGCCGAGACTGCCGTGCACCGCCTGGGGGGGGGGGGGGTATCATTACAATTATTACTGTTATTCATCATTGTATGGGAATTGATATACATCAATTCTTCATATTTTGTATCAATTCGTTACATTTTGTTTCAATTCATCGCATTTCCTATCAATTCTTCACATTTTGTAACAATTTTCCCCATTTTTATCAACTCTTCTCATTTTGTATCAATTCATCACATTTTGCATACTATCAATAATGTGGTTATTCACGAGAACTGTGTCTTAACTGCAGACAATATATTTCCTCTAATCAGCTTATCTCTTAAATTGACTATTTAATTTTTGAAAGTGAGCCTTTAATTAAATACTGGATATTGCATTTTGCTAATTTCACTATGTCTGTAATTCGTCATTCATTAACGCGCATTTGTAATCATCGTTAATTAGTTGACTCGCTCCTAATTGTGAGATCAGCAATAATTGAATAAGGTGCTCAAAATTTAAGCCAATCAGTTGAAGCGTAAAACTAGGATACTAAATGTAATTTCAATCACCCATCTATTGTGAGAAAATAAGTTTTTCTTTCGTTGACAACAATAATAGATTCTTGACAAGAATAACCGTCTTCTAGTAAATGACTCGAAAACCAAAAGTAAATTATGAAGCTAACTAAACTCAGAAGCAAGGGAACTGAAGCTCTCATTTTCTGCCGTTATGTCGTGCATTTATGCCCATTTTTTCAGATTAATAGCTAACAGTTTCCAAATGTTTAAAGAACTTAATATAATTTATATGTGTGGTACCAAACAAATCTTCAATGCAAGTGCACCAGTAAACCTACGACCAACTCGTATATACATACAGTATGTATATTGTATAGTCTTGAAATGCCTCGTATCCTACGGAACAACTGAAATCTAGCTGTGATTTTAAGCCTACCGTTCGTTGAAAAGATTTGATCAAAAGGCCAGTCTAGTCAAGAAAAATACAAGAATCGGCGACAGGCCTATCCAGGCCTATTCTTCAGTGCCGAAGATACTATACTAATACTTATACTAACTCACCTGGCGCACGAATCCAAGATTGACAAACATTTTCTTCGTAACTGGCACGTAATACTGACGTCCCGTGTGCAGACGCCACGTGTCTCTGTAAGAAAAATTTTATTTCAGGTCCGTGAAATAATTAATATTCCCCCAAAAATTGTGCCGGCCAATTATATGAATGCTTATAATAAAGATTGTTGAGGAATTTATCTAAAATCGATATTTATTATCCCAACGACATCCTTGGCCAGGCTCTTGTCCCGTCTGGCCACCACAATGGCGGCGAATTAACTATTTGTCTTGGCCGAAATATCGTGTTGTTTTGGGCCCACGTGCGACCCACTCTTGCCGCCCTCGTCCACAGCCCCACTCTTGCTGCCCTCGTCCACAGCCCCACTCTTGCCGCCCTCGTCCACAGCCCCACTCTTGCCGCCCTCGTCCACAGCCCCACTCTTGCCGCCCTCGTCCACAGCCCCACTCTTGCCGCCCTCGTCCACAGCCCCACTCTTGCCGCCCTCGTCCACAGCCCCACTCTTGCCGCCCTCGTCCACAGCCCCACTCTTGCCGCCCTCGTCCACAGNGGGACCTCACTGACCTGGCGACGTAGACCTCAGAGACCTCACTGACCTGGCGACGTAGACCTCAGGGACCTCACTGACCTGGCGACGTAGACCTCAGGATGGAACGGAAGCTTCAGGAAGTAGCGGCCCTTGGCCACTTTTATGTTACCGCCGCCCCCGCGCCCCCTGCTGCTGGACCTCCCCCGCCCCCGTCCTGGAAAGAAGGTGAATGTCATCCAGCTGATTTATCCTGGGATCAAGCAGCTTATTAACTTTTGGTAGGAACTTTTACTGTTTATCGTAATTTTACCCTATAGTACTTGCGCCGAGAGTGAGAGCCCAATCGTTATTACTGTAGAAAAGGGAAGAAAGTTATTAGAAAAGGGAAATATTAATATTTCTGTGGAATGGTTGGTTCACTATGAAAAAAATTGTTATATAAAGTTTTCGCGCATTTAATCGCAACAAAATCAAGCGAGTTTATAAATACAATATATTTACGATTTAATAAAAAACACGATACCGCCCTTTTGCTAGGAACTTTTACTGCTAAAGAGAAAATTTCATTCATGAAGAGAAATTTTATAAAATAATGTTATTTTCTGAAGACAATAATTTGAGTCTGAGTAGAGAAATTCATCTCTGAAGCGGTCGCCGTGTTGCTCAGGAGTGCGTTTGTTTCACTTGAGGTAAACGTTTTTCTTGTAGACAAAATTTGGTTTCTTCAAAGAATTTTTTCATAAGAGTTAAGGTTTCCTCCAAAATATAACGTTTTGTTAAAAAAATTGCTGCTAAAATTATAAATCTGTTTTCGAAAAAAAATTATTCCTGATGAAAATATACTTTTAAAAAGAATTGTTAGGTTCCAATTAGAAGATTTTGCTTATAATGAAAACTATTCTTCTATGAAGACAAAGTTTGTATTCAAAGAGACTTCTATCTAAGGATAAATCTTTCATTAAAGAAAAATTTTTCTTCTTAGAAACCTTAACTCCCCGATGTTCTCGATAACATCACTTTCTACTCATAAATAATATTCCAGAATAATAAAAAATATATAGCTAATATTCTATTCTATTGATAAAAATTTTATCCAACGACGAGCGCAAACCACACGTAAAAAGTCGTTATCCTCCTGAATTGTACCGGCACAATTTGTCATTTAACGCTTGAACAAGAGAACATCGGGTCACTTGTTCGGGGCTAATAAGCGTTATTAAACGCTCGTTAACTCTAATGAACTTCAGCCTCATTTAATTATGCCAATCCCGCTACGGAATCTGATGCAGACCCAGGATTTTTTCGGGTCTCTTGGGTCTTTAACTGCGAGCCCCGGACCCAATGCTAGGTTATTCCAGTGTCTAGTAGCGGTATTCTTTCTAGAATTTGAATTTATTCATGCTTACTTGGTAGGTTTCGACCAACGAAATTAATAGGTGATGAAGTTTTAAAATAAACTCGTGTATTACAATCAATGTTCACCAACAATGGCGTTTGTGATCCGTGGTGAACCTAACATTTGCGTTGATATTATCTTTGTTTTGATATTAATTATAATGCTAGTTGTGCAATTATCCGAGCGATTTCCGCTTCTCGATTTCATAAATTACGTACATCATCGCTTTAAATCTAGACGTTACGTCAACTCTAGACGTTACGTCAACTCTAGACGTCACCTCAACTCTAGACGTCACCTCAACTCTAGACGTCACCACAACTCTAGACGTCACCACAACTCTGGACGTTACGTCAACTCTAGACGTTACGTCAACTCTAGACGTCACCTCAACTCTAGACGTTACGTCAACTCTAGACGTCACCTCAACTCTAGACGTCTTCTCATCTCTAGACGTCACCTCAACTCTAGACGTCACCACAACTCTAGACGTCACCACAACTCTAGACGTGACGTCAACTCTAGACGTTACGTCAACTCTGCCCTCTAGACGTTACGTCAACTCTGCCCTCTAGACGTTACGTCAACTCTAGACGTCACCTCAACTCTAGTCTTCATTTCGTCGAGACGTGAACACTTTAGAATCTAACGCCACAGAGCTTTAAATGATCAATGTATCAACATTAAAAATATAAATTGATCTCTTAAATCCTTATTGTCAATAAAGGTTCTTCCAAAAATTGCTCGACGCTGATCTTTATCTCGCGCAGGCCTTCGAACTGCAATAAATGTAATTTTGAATCTTGCAATACATTGAACCTCTTCTAAAATCTGACTTATCCGAAACAAAACATTAATAGTGAATTTCGTGACCTCAGGTTGTAATTCATGTTTTAACATTAAAATATTTCTTAAATCTTAAAATAGTAATTCTATTTCATTTTGAAAAAATTATTTCATTTTTTACCAAAAGTATTTTTTTGCAGAAAAAAATTAGTGAAAAATGCATTTAGCTTTGATTTGAGAGTTTGGTCGATTATACTGAAATCAATTTAGAGAATATTTGTAAACTGAAAAAAACCTTGAAAATACTTTTAAAGGTTTTTAAACCTTGAAAATATTTTTAAATATTTTTAAAATTCGTAAAAAAATGTTCGTCAGACGCAAAAAAAGTGTATATTTTAGAGCTCACCTTTTGTTTTTCTGTCGTTGAGAACAACTTCCACCTTGTCATCCTCATCATCGTCTTGTGTATCGCCCTCCGTCCTGTTCTTCCTGTTCCGTTTCCTCTGTCCCTTCCTCCTGTGTTTATTCTGTACATCTTCCACTTCCAAGCCCGTGGCCTCTGTTTTCAGAAGTCCAAATATCAGTTATTTAATAAATCCTTCAAATACATAATTTCAATTCTGAACAATTCATGAATAGTTGAACGGTCTGTGCTGTGAACGGCTTGGACTCAAATGATAGCAGTTAACGTGTCAATGGCGGTATTTTTCATGTCGGATAAACGAAGATTAGCACCAAAATAATCAAAATTATTGTGTAATATTAATGAGATTAGTCGACATTGATGCCCAACCTCTAATTAATTAATTAAGACCTTAATTGACGTTTACTAACTGGAAGCATGGCGCAATTAAATTATACTTTTAAATTCAATAGCAACTATGTGGAACTTTTTCTATTACAAAAACACAAAAGATTTAATTTTAAAATCAATTCACGAGTTAATTAAACACTCGTATATAAATTTGGTTATTTTTTCTCGCTACTCAAAAAACAATAATTTTAGAGTCGGCCATCTTTATCGTGATAAAATATCAACAAACGCGGCAAGATTCATCAGACGATCACGCCACGTGACGTTGACTCGCCTTCGTCTTGGTCGTCTGTGAACTCGTGTGCCTCGTCTGCAGCTGAGCTCAGGTCGTCGTCTGCTGTCAGTGACTCGGGCAGGCGACCAGGCGACTCGTCTGCTGCGATAATAAAAAGACGCAATACGTAAGACGTATCAAAAGACGTGCTACGTAAGACGTATCAAAAGACGTGCTACGTAAGACGTATCAAAAGACGTGCTGCGTAAGACGTATCAAAAGACGTGCTACGTAAGACGTATCAAAAGACGTTCCCTCGCTATAAAATAAGAGTTTTCTCGCTATAATATATTAATTATTCAACATGCATTCCATAATAATAATTATTCATGATGCATTTCAACTTCCTCTGGTCATACTAGTTTCAACTTGATCATTTAATTGAACTTGCGCCAGTCTCACTAGTCTTAACCTAGTCATTTGACTGAGTTGCTGTAATCTCACTATTCTTAACCTAGTAATTTGACTGAGTTGCGCCAGTCTCACTATTCTTAACCTAGTCATTTGACTAAGTTGCGCCAGTCTCACTATTCTTAACCTAGTCATTTAACTGACTTGCGCCAGTCTCACTATTTTTAACCTAGTCATTTGAGTAAGTTGCCCCAGTCTCACTATTTTTAACCTAGTCATTTGAGCAAGTTGCCCCTGTCTCACTATTCTTAACCTTGTCATTTGACTGAGTTGCGCTAGTCTCACCAGTCTCAGCCTAGTCATTTGACTGAGTTGCGTCAGTCTCACCAGTCTCAGCCAAGTGTTCATCCAAGTGTCCTGGGTGGTGAAGAGCCTTAACTGAGTCATCCAACGACTTGCAGCGACTGTTGGAGACTGAACGACTGAAGTCGGGCGACTGCAAGCAAAAGATTTTATCAGAATCAGTTGCAGAATTTGTAGACAATTTGCAACATAGTAATGCCTTGTGTACGCAACCACGCAAGGTTTGTACGCTTTTGAAATGACATGCATTTAAATTAAATGCGTGATTAGTGCATTCAAATTAATTGCGTGATTAATGCATTTAAATTAAATGCGTGATTAATGCATTTGAATTAATGTGTGATTAATGCATTTAAACTAATGCGTGATTAATGCATTTAAATTAAATGCATTGGCATGAAAGGCGTAACTGAAATCTTTTTTTTAATGCCAATGAAATTTTTCTTGATTATCCTGGAAAATTACCCTCACAGCCTATGAATGATCATGAAAGATTTCCTGTCATCGGTAGAGGAAATTTGACAAAAATTTGTCCACCTTGCCTACAAGCGATCATTTCAAAAATTAAGATTGCCTTCTTTATGTTTTCATGGATGTCCGAAATTCAGCATGAAAATTGCTACGGCAATCTGCCTATAATTTTCTAGAAAATCTGCAATCCTGCATGAAAATTGTTGAGATAAAACGACAGTAATTTAGACGGAAATCTGCACGAATATTGTTATAACACTGCCACGAATTTGAGCCGATATCTCCATGAACGTTGTTTAGATAAAGAGCGCAAAATTTCACGGAAATTTACAACGAATATATTGAGACAATCTTGCCGTTATTCTCTCAGTATTCCGCGTGGAGAATTTTCGAGATAATCAGGTTACAATTTCCTAAAAATTAGCATGAAAATTGTGAGACAATTGCCAAAAAAGTCAACGGAAATCTGAACGAAAATAGTTTAAACAATGTGCCTATACATGTCAAGGACACTTGAATATGTCATCGATGGCAGGGTGGTCAAGGCATCAGCGGCCAGCACTGTCCATCAGACGAGGTCGCATGATTGACCATCAGCTCATCAAAGAGCTTCAGTGGACACGCGTTTGCTTGCCCTAAACTCGATCAAACATGAGCTTTGCTACGTATGTTATGTTGTATTATGAAAATTCTGTTATAGCGCCCACATGTAAATAGTATTCCGTTCAGTTCTTACAAGTTACTTCGCTCTAGAACTAGTGACCATTGTTGGCATTGACACATTCACGACCAATAACTACTGTTCTCCTTGTAAAAATTCTGTAAATAGTTTCTGTATGTGTAAGACCTTCACATATGAATATATTCCCTTTACGTTACCGTTTTTCCTGTTTTATAGTAGTGTTATTTTGTTCCAGGATGCTGCGTTCTTGTTGAATAATAATGAGTTACGTCGGCTTTCGCTTACAACATGTTGCACCGGCTGCTTTGATATCAAATAAACACAATTGTTACAAGTTAAAAGTTGACATGATTGTTTTCGTTTGAAAAACAGATTCTAGATTCCGGGATTGTTATCTAGGATGTTATCTAAATGACGGATTTATTTGAATGTTTAAATGAAATGTTGAGTGACTTGGGAAGTGTGAAGTGGTGAGGGAAATGGTGGGGGAAGTGGTGAGGGAAGTGGTGAGGGAAGTGGTGAGGGAAGAGGTGAGGGAAGTGCTGAGGGAAGTGGGTCAAGTGACTCACCAGCAGCCAGTCCCCGACAGTGCAGTGACTTCTGCTGGTGCACGTATTGGTGCTGGTGCACCAACCACACCACGGTGCAGCTGGTTCACCGCTGTCTTGTGCACCAGGTGGTGCACCCAGTAAGCTGGTGCAGTCACTGCAGTTCACAGCCAAGCTGGTGCAGTGGTACACCAACACTGGGACCATGGAAGAGATGCACTTGATTTGCATACTTTATATATATGAATATGATTTGCATACTAATGAATATTTGCTTGATTTGCTTGAATTCTTTATGAATTATTTTAATTTTTTATGAATTATTATGAATTATTTGAATTATTTTAATTATTTATGAATTATTATGAATTATTTGCTTGATTTGCATACGCATGAATATTTGTGAACCATACATTTCATGCATGGTTCAAAAATGTAATGGATATTCCATGGTGCATAAATTAAACTTTTTCGCTACACAGAAATTAGGCATAAATTCATTATAGAGCAATTTCTATAAAGATCACCATTCATTAGAAAAGCTCAGTACAAATATACTTTAACGCTGCCGCCTGCATACAGATTCTATTCATGTTATAACGGTCACAGCAGCAGCAAGTGTCATGACAGAGAAATTCAATAAATAAGTAATAATTTCTATGCTATTAAATAATTTAATAAAGATGTAGTAATATCGCTGATATTAAATAATTAAATATTGATGTAATAATCTCGCAGATATTAAATAATTAAATAAAGATGTAATAATCTCGCTGAAAGTAAATAATGCAATAAATATGTAATGATCTCGCTGATATTAAATAATGTAATAAAGATGTAATAATCTCGCTGAAAGTAAATAATGCAATAAATATGTAATGATCTCGCTGATATTAACAGTTAAAGAAGCGTTTTAAGTCACAATGTAATTCATCCCAGATTACCGGCAATGTCGCCTGAATTATCCAGCGTGTATCCATCAGCAGCGCGGACTTTAGGCCGGGCCAACAAGACGCTGGGTAGATGCGAGGCTGGTGATGAGGTAGACGAAGTAGACTGGGTAGACTCTAAGCCGGGTAGAGTTGACTGTAGATTACTCCTCAGTATATCGTGAGTCGAGACAATATTAGGGTTGGTTGATGGTGATGTTGGGAGGATAGATGACGGTGAGGTTTGGAGGGTAGATGATGGTGAGTTTTGGAGGGTAGATGATGAGGTAGAGAAAGTAGACCCGATCGCACCTCTACACGTCACGCTACCCACCCCCACGCGCGCACCATCAGCCAGCGTCACCACGGAGCCCTGGTGAAAATGTGTGAATGTTAATTATATTATAATTATTGCTTGCAATCAGTACCATATTTAGTACCATAAAGAATATATGTTGAGAAATAATTGCGAACATCCTACCATAATATAACGATAATTCCGAACACCTTATTGATAATGTAAAATAAAATATGGAAATAAGAATATGGGTAGTAGAAAACACATTTGTAATTAGTAAAACTTCTATAGAATAAGCAAATATCAATAGTTAGTAGACCGCGAACGGCCACTGACTCGCTGAAGTCGAAGTGAACGTTTCAAAATGTATTGTTTCGTATTGACCTTAATTTGAAATTAAAACATCGTGACAACAAATATGAATGCACAACAGCATCTTGCACCCAGGTTTAGTGGATAATTTAAAATGAAGTCGATTTTTAAATAGATAGTAAAAACATTTAGATTGCAGTCTATATAGACCGCACGCAACCTCGCCGAGCCTAGACCGTTGCTCAGGTCATTCACTTTGTCGCATTTATTGCATAACTTATGAGCGCATAAACTGAGATGAATTATGAAATATTATAATAATTTGATTTATTTAGTTTTTTAATCCTCCCTATATTGAGTCATGTTTTTCAAATTAAAAAGGAGAATATGTCTGCTATTGTCTCGCATCACGGACGATCAGAAATAAGGTTAGTTTTGTTATATATGCCATCTGATGCTAGACAAAAATTAGAAGGCAATCCTGTTTAGACTCGGCTGATAGTAAGTATCAGTGCTAGTAAATGCACATAATAAAAATTAATACAGTGTTTTAGGAAATGAAATGTATTTTGCGTACTGATGTATGAAATTTGGCAGGTATTTGGTCCAAGGAACTCGTTACCCAGCATTTGTCAAGATTCAAGAAAGAGAACCTGAAAACTAAATTGTGTTTGGAAACCCTGAAACACTCACTGAGAACAGTTTATTGTTTCCACTCTCTGAGAACAGTTTATTCAAGTTGATCTAGTATTTGTGAAAAACCTTAAAATAAATCATAGTGAGACCCACAAAGTATCTTGGGGATAATGGTATTACTTGGCGACACAATTTGATACATTCAAATTGGAAATTTAGTTCTCCGGTATATAAAAACTTGCGAGACCTATAAAATAAACATATTTGTACCTCCTCAAAACACACAAACCTGGAAATATCCTGGCAAAGTCACAACAGCAGACGACAAAGTGGAGTATTGCCAAGCCACGTCACCAGATGGCGCTGAGTGCGCGTACGGCAAAATGTTGAAGTTCTTCAGCAGTTGGTGCGCCTGGGCCGCCATAAGCTTCGTCAGCGCCTCCGTCGATGCCGATATTTTCTTGACGTCGAACTCACACGACCAGGGCTTTTCGGTCAGGCTTTCCTGCACCGATTGTACGTGAATGAAACGGTTGGCTTTGCTGTTATTCTGTACAGTGTCTTCGTAAGTAATGGAGGGCTATGCTGTTATTCTGCACAGTGTTATCGTAAGTAACGGAGGGATATGCTGTTATTCTGCACAGTGTCATCGTAAGTAACGGAGGGCTGTGCTGTTATTCTGTACAGTGTCATCGTAAGTAACGGTGGACTGTGCTGTTATTCTGTAGTGTTATCGTAAATAACGGAGAGCTATACTGTTATTATACTCAGCGTCATAGTATGTAACGGTGGGCTATGCTGTTATTCTGCACAATGTCATCGTATGTTTGCGAATCTCTTCGGTTTCATCATATGGTCTGATTGAATTACTGGAGGATTGTATTAAATTTCAACTTTTGTACATTAAAAGAGATTCGGTGCGTAATACGATGATTGGGCAGAAGACAACATAAAGAAAAAATTCTTGAAACCCCAGATGATGTTGGACACCGTCCCATAGCACATAGGGACGATGGATGCCGTCCCATAACACATAGGGACGATGGATACCGTCCCATAACACATAGGGACGATGGATACCGTCCCATAACACATAGGGACGATGGATACTGTCCCATAACACATGAGGACGATGGATACTGTCCCATAACACCGTCCCATAACACCGTCCCATAACACCGTCCCATAATACATGGGGACAATGGAAACCGTCCCATAACACCGTCCCATAATGCATGGGACGATGCAAGCCGTCCCATAACACATGGGGACGATGGATACTGTCCCATAACACATGGGGACGGCGAGTGCCGCCCTCTGTCTCACAGGGATGTTGGAGACTGTGAAGGAGAGGCTGCCAGGGTCGCCCCCGTCCACGGCCATCACGCGGTCCCGCCCCGCAAGAACTCTGGGGCATTTGGCGGAGCCGCGTCGGGGCTCCAAACTCTGCGGGGGTTACGAACAGGATTTCATGGATATTTCCTAGACATGTACGGACAGCGAGACAGGATTAATGGCTATTTATTCGCTACGGATGGGATTTCATGGATAGGATATTTTAAGAACAGGATTGAAGACAGGATTTAATGAACTGGATATTCGTTACGGACAGGATTTAATGGATATATCCTAGGCATCACTGGTTTACATGAGAAAATTTCTATTCCGAAGCAGGAATCAAAAATTTTCGGCTAATTCATGTATTTCGAGAGCTAATTCATTGTTTTCTATTTCAATTTTATGCTTTCACAATGAGGTCTTGTGCCTGATGGTTTAATTGTTTTGACGAGCCAAAAATGATTACCCTAAATTTCCCAAACCTCTGTTCCTGATCAAATTTCCAGAAAGAATAACAAAAGGTGGCCTTCATAATAAAGACTTAGCAGGCATCACAGAACTTTCGGTCCCGCATCGTGACGCAGCGCTGGCCGCGCGTGAAATTTTACCCGCCATCATCGCGTAAGTTTCTTGCGGTGTTGGATTCTCTTGTTGGATGATTGCGGTGATGGAGGAGGGTCTGATGCGCAGAACTTCTTAAACTCCGACTTCGAGCTTTGGTTTCAGATTCCTCGACCTTATTAGCTGAAGGCTGGCTGAACTTAGTGGGTGTAGGTTGAATATGTCCAACTAAAGGCTGGGTGTAGGTTGAATATGCCAACTAGAGGCTGAGTGTAGGTTGAATATGCCAACTAGAGGCTGGGTGTAGGTTGAATATGTCCAACTAGAGGCTGGGTGTAGGTTGAATATGTCCAACTAGAGGCTGGGTGTAGGTTGAATATGTTCAACTAGAGGCTGGGTGTAGGTTAAATATGCCCGACTAGAGGCTGGGTGTAGGTTAAATATGCCCAACTAGAGGCTGGGTTTAGGTTGAATATGTCCAACTAGAGGCTGGGTTTAGGTTAAATATGTCCAACTAAAGGCTGGGTGTAGGTTGAATATGTTCAACTAGAGGCTGGGAGTAGGTTGAATATGCCCAACTAGCGGCTGGGTTTAGGTTGAATATGCCCGACTAGAGGCTGGATGTAGGTTGAATATGCCCAACTAGAGGCTGGGTGTAGGTTGAATATGCCAACTAGAGGCTGGGTTCAGGTTGAATATGCCCAACTAGAGGCTGGGTTCAGGTTGAATATGCCAACTAGAGGCTGAGTTAAGGTTGAATATGCCCAACTAGAGGCTGGGTTAAGGTTGAATATGCCCAACTAGAGGCTGGGTTTAGGTTGAATATGTTCAACTAGAGGCTGGGTTTAGGTTGAATATGCCCAACTAGAGGCTGGGTTTAGGTTGAATATGCCCAACTGGAGGCTGGGTGTATGTTGGACATACCCTATTAGGTGCAAAGGAGCATGGAACCATGCATGAAGCTGGTGCATTGGTTGTAGACTGGTGGTTTCCTTGGTAGTTCAACAGGATCAAGTGATGTCATCTTAACGAATCTCGTGCAATAAAAGTCATCTTGAAATTCCTCCTGATTTTGATTTGTAACATCAATAGGAAAATAAGAGCGGTTCAGCTATTTGTGATGTCCTCACAAGCCACAGCCTTGACAAAGTCTTCACAGGCCTCAGCATTGACCATGTCCTCACAGGCCACAGCCTTGACCAAGTCCTCACAGGCCACAGCCCTAATGTCCTCAGTGATCACAGCCCTGGCAATGTCCTCACAGACCGCAACCCTGATGATGTCCTCACAGGCCACAGCCCTGACGATGTCCTCACTGGAGTTGTCCTCTAATTCGTCTCTTTGGCTACTAACTTTTTTGTGCCATTCATGAGCCAGTATATAGGCTTGTTCGTCAGCACCAGTCGTGCCATTCATAGCTTGTCGTCGTTTCGATAGTACGACTTGTGAAGGAACTTTAATGTTGTGTCCACATACATCCAGAGCACAATGTTGCTACTCGCTACTGCAGTAGGATTTGGTTGGGTGGTTGGAAAAGCGGGAGTTGTTGCTCTAAAATTGGTAAATATGGGGTGAGTGGGTATGACCTGGTGAGTGGGTATGGTTCTGAGTGGGGTACAGTTTGGCGACCGCGGTTACATGTGGGACCTAAGGGGGACGGTTGTGCACGAGTGGAAACTGCTGAAGATGTGAAGGAGTACTTGAGTGTGTGGAGGCACGGTCAGTGATGAGTGGGGAACAGCCAGGGTTATGGATTCTTTCGAATCTTTGCACTAGTACAGCTTTCAGATTCTGTACAATACAGGATTAGAACATGAACCTGGACATTAGCTGTCCGGACGCAACCCAAGATTTTGGGAAGCTCATTAATTGTTCGTGCGAGCAGGTGGAACGTGGACAATCACCAAATTTTCACACGGTCAAGATACGGTATATAAAAAATCTATGTATCTGACCAGGTACAGCTTTCTTAGCCTAAAAAGTCTTTCCGATCTTAAGTAAATTTCGGCTTTTCAATAAGTTATAAGATTTTAGTTGTTGAAAAAGCTTTCAGCCCTACAAAATATTCACCCTAAAAAGCTAACAAAAGAGATATAATTTTTATCAATAATTTATTTTGAAAAGGTACGACATGCTTTGGTTTAATTAAAACTGACTTATGGGTATGAGAAGCGGTCAGAGATTAACGGGGATGGTTGGAGGTGAATAAGTTAGTCCTGGGTGAGTTGGGTTGGTATATGGTCCTGGGTGAGTAAAGTAGAGATGGGTGATGGTAAGGGTGATGGGGTGGGAGAAGGTGGAGGGTGATGGGATGGGAGAATGTGGAGGGTGATGGGATGGGAGAAAGTGGAGGGTGATGGGATGGGAGAAGGTGGAGGGTGATGGAGTAATGGGATGGGAGAAGGTAGAGGGTGATGGGATGGGAGAAGGTGGAGGGTGACACATGTAACATCAAAGCGTAACGCTACGTCAACACTTGCCAGTTACACAGGCGCTAAAAATTTCACTGTAAAATTCCAGCAAATTGCGCTTTGATGATGAGAGGCAACGCAACATCTGCCAGAGATTGACCAGGCGATCTGCTAATGATGTGTCCGAGATCATTTGAGAGTAATTTATGCCAACTTTATAATAAGTCAGAGATTTGTCAGAAATCCATCAGAGATCAATCAGAGATCAGTTAGAGATCAGTCAGAGATCAGTCGGAGATCAGTCGGAGTTCAGTCAGAGATCAGTCAAGAGATAAGCCAGAGATCAGCCAGAGATCGGTCAGAGATCAGTCAGAGATCAGTCAGAGATCAGTCAGAGATCAGTCAGAGATCAGTCAGAGATCAGTCAGAGATCAGTCAGAGATCAGTCAGAGAGAGATCAGTCAGAGATTAGTCGGAGATCAGCCAGAAATCGGTCAGAGATCAACCAGAGATCAGTCAGAGATCAGTCAGAGATCAGTCAGAGATCAATCGGAGATCAGACAGAGATCGGCCAGAGATAAGTCAGAGATCAGTCATAGATCAGTCAGTGATTAGTCAGAGATCAGACAGAGATCTGCTAGAGATAACCCAGAGATCGCTCAGAGATCCGTCCGCTATTATACATAAGCCATCTATTCATCATAAAATCATTAACTGGGAGCCAACAAGTGATGCCAGTCTCTCAAATATAAATTAATGTGTGTGATGGCTGTCATTATAGTTCATACTAACGAGTAATTTCAATCGCATTAATATAAACATATTTTTAGTTATTCAGGCTTACATATATCAATTGTACTTTCGGCCTCTATAGTTTTATATCATTTTGTAATTCAGCCAATATAGTGTTACATCATTGTGTAATTCAGCTTCCTGTATATTTATTCACTGCGTAATTTATAGTTTCATGTATATTTCAGCCCCTTTATCTCATAATTATTATGTAAATATAGTCACTATTGCTCTATAGTTACTTAAACAATCACCAATAATTAATTCAAATTAAAATAAAACGAACTTCGAAGTCAAAATTCCTGCCAAAAGTTACTGAAATAAATGAAGTAGAGATTTCAACGTAGTCTCCATTTTTCAACTTGGCAGATAAATGGACAAAAGTTGAATGAGTTTCAACACGCGCCGTCGATGCGGCTCACGTGGATCATGAAAACCAGCCTGTAACTTTCACCAACTTTCATGGGAACTTTCCTGATGGAAAGTTCAACGTGAAGGAATAACAGAGAAGGAGTAACACGAAACATAGCGTGGCTCTCATGTTCCCGCTGAAAATATATACAAGTTCTATTGTTTAATTAAGTGAAGATTATAATATATTGAAATATTTAGAAATACATGACAATTTCGGGACATATAAATATATACAAGTTCTATTATTTAATTAAGTGAAGATTATAATATATTGAAATATTTAGAAATACTTGACAATTTCGGGACATATTATTTAAAATAGAAAGCAGAAATGTTCGTATTGACCTTCTTCTTGCGCAGTTGATTATTAATAAATGACATGCTAATTAAGTGCAGCAGATTATTAACTGCTATTAATAAATGACAATTTGAGGAGTTCTAGTAAATACATTTGAGGTATTTCTACTGCATTACGTTAGGTATTACTGATTTATTGCGCTGCCTTTTAATACGGTACTGCTCTAGATTGTAATGTGGTATTGCGCTTTGTATTTAGGCTGTATTGAAATTGTTATTATTGAGGTATTTTGACAGGTAGATTAATGCAGTATTAGGTTAGTATTGATGCGGTATTGCGCTCAGGTTAAAATAATTACAAGGTTATTAACAGCAGTTCATCTCAATGAAAAAAAAAACAAGAAATTAGAGGTTTTAGGATCGGAGAGTTTGAAATTTTTGCATTTATTTTCATTTAGTGAATGAATGAATGCAGGGGGCTGATGAATGATGAAAAATAGAGTGATGAATAATATGTGTTGTGATGAATAATAGAGTGTTAATGATGAATAATGATGATGAATGAGGAATAATAGAGTGTTGGATACTCACGGAGTGGTGATGAATGATTGCATCACTCGGGCAAGTTCTGGTTCTAATGCTGAGTGGATGAGCGCAATATTGTGATGAGGAACACCACGCGCAGCCACCACCACCACCATCACCACCAGATCTAATTTTTCCAGCGCCTGTGGGTATTTCCAACCGACACATAACGACTACATTAATTTTAAAATCGCACGATAAAAGCAATGAATCTAGTAACAATTAACAATCCTACTTCACAGTCGTCAGTTTTGTCAGCATTAAATATTTTAATGGTGTTGTTTAATGTACAGTAATGTAATATGTACAGGATCATACTGTTTCAACAAAATATATACGAGATCTTACTGCATCAACAAAATATATATGAGATCTTACTGCCTCAACAATATATATACGAGATCTTGCTGCCTCAACAAAAACATAACAACGGTACCGCCTCGCAAACAAAATGAATACTTAATAAAATATATCCTGAATTTCATTAGCATAGAAATTTAACTGCAGTAAAGAGCCAAGAAATATATTTGAACGGCTTTAGGGTCGCCAAGTTCAAGTCATTTGTCGCAATAGAATATTCCCTACAGGATATTACCTACAATATTTAGAATATATTCCCTACAATATTTAGGATACATTCCTTACATAACCTGTATATGTAGGGATATATATGTAAATATAGGGAATATATCCTGTAGGATATATTCCCTACAGCATTTAGGCTATATAGTCGCTGCACGCGGTGAGCCACGCGCACGCGTCGCCGCCCTCCTGCGACGCGTTGTGCGCGTCTGCGGCCTGCGGGTTAACTTAATTAACTTGACTTAACTTAATTAACTAACTTAATTAATTCAGTTAGGTTAATTAATTAAATTAATTAACTTAACTCAACTTAACTTAACTCAATTAATTCAGTTATGTTAATTAATTAACTAAATTAACTTAACTTAACTAATTAACTTAACTTAACTTTAACTTAATTAACTTAACTTAATTAATTCAGTTAGGTTAATTAATTAACTTAACTCAACTTAACTTAACTTAATTCAGTTAGGTTAATTAATTACCCTAATTAACTTTACTTAACTAATTAACTCGAATTAACTTTTACTTAATCAAATTAAACTTAACGGCCTGCGACGTGTTGTGCGCGTCTGCAGCTTGCGGGGGGCGAGGTGATGAAGGGGCGATGGTGAGGTGATGAGGGGGTGATAGTGAGGTGATGGTGATGAGCTGTTGATGGTGAACTAATAGTGTTGAGTTGAAGAAACGATAAGGTGCTTGTACACGAGGTAGATCTGACAAATGCCAAATGTCTGCCGCTTGGTCCGGCAAGTAAGCTTAGACACGAGGCAAGTTTAAGGTGCCGCCGTGCCGGTATATATATTCGTTACCGGCACGGCGGCACTTTAAACTTGCCTCGTGTCTAAGTTTACTGGCCGGATAGACACCAAGCGGCAGACATTTGGCAACTGTCAGGTCTACTAGCCATCTGCACTGTCCTCGTTTACAGGAAACTATAGTGACAAGGTAAACAGCCGATTGTGGTGTAATGAAGGGCATGATAGTGATAATAAGGTCAGCTGTTAGTGATGAGGTGCAGAGTTTCTATGATGCAATACAGAGCTGTTAGTAACGAGATAGTGAGCAGTAGTTCAATTGTGCGTTAACACGTTGACTACGAAGTGGTACACATGAGTACCACGAAATGTATTTCTCCAGGACGTAGTGGTACATAATTCAGGTTGCCTAAAATCAGCCTAATCCGCGAACAAAAAAGGCCAAAAAAGGCCGATAACTCAATATATACAGGGTGCGGCGTGGGAACTTACTCTTTTAAAAAAATCACAAAGTAAAAAGTATTAAAGATAGCGTTTTAATTCTTTCTTTTTTACAAAGAGCTACATTTAAAGTTTCGTTGGGTTTACTTACAAGTTTAATTCTTGAATATTACATCTTGTAGGTGAAAACGCGCGCTCCTCTCTCGACCACTGCATGGTCGCAACTGAACTGAGTGGACGAAAAACTTCATAGCCCGCGCACCATATTGCGCATGGCGCCACCTTCCTAGGACTAATGGCCGCCACGTGGCGCGCAATTCAAATAAGTAAGTTCCCGCGCCGCACCCTGTACTAGTTTATTTGTAGGTTCCACTATAAAAATTCCATTTATTTTCTTTTTGCAGTATTTACAATTCAATTAGGAAGTATCCCTATTATAAATTTTAGCCGGGCAACGCAATTGAGAAAAACTAAATCACGGAATTTGTCCGGAAAAAATGACCGTCTGGCAACCCTGTTTAAAAACAGTACAAAAATGAAATAATATAACAAGATGAAGCAATCGGAATCAATGTGTTAAAGAGCTGGTAAGGACGGCCGTTATCCGCTTCACCTTCATAAATAAAGCATGAATGATATACCGCTGCAACTTCATGATATACTGCTTTACCTTCATAAATTAATCGTCAATGATATACCGTTTCACCTTCATAAATAAAGCATCAATGATATACCGCTTCAATTTCATGATAAACATATACTGCTTCACCCTCATAAGTAAAGCATCAAAGATATACCGCTTCACCTTCATAAATAAAGCACGAATGATATACAGCAATGCTTTATAAGCAACGTCGCACCTGAACCTCAGGCGTAGGCATGGGCAGAGGTACGGTTGCCGCCCCCGACTTGAGGGCGCGGGAGCCCTCGTGGAACAGCGGCTTCAAGAACACGTCGAACACGAACTGTTCCAGGGGGAACTCCTGCAGATTGTTCCTTCTTTGATCACCTGTAGCCCGGGCCGGACCTGGACCCGGGGATTTGGAGGGGAAGGAGGAGTTTACGCTGTAATATTCGGTGGGATGACATCCTCCGGGGGTGAAGGATAGGCTGTCCAGTGCGATGTCCCCCTCGCTGCCTGCCCCGCGGGTGGCGCGGACCTGATGGCATGGAACAACACATGCAGTCGAGTAAAATTAATAAAATGTAATTCATTACAATAATACTAATAAAATAGATAATAATAAATAATTAATAATTCAAACAACGTGTCTCGAAATAATACCATATAGGGACAAATGTTGAATGTTAATGTTTCGGGGGCATTACTTAGATTCCCAGCACTTTTATAGAATCTAGACTTCGCCCACTACTGAGGTCTTGTGTAGCGTGATGTTGTCCATGCTGGCTCAGGTCTAGTACTGTTCCATCAATTTCTATCACGTCAAGTGAATATTACGTCTGAATTATAATGAATGGAATGAGACGCCTGATTGACATGTGCCCGGACAGCTCTGGTAATCCGACGAACGCCGGACGTACATGCAAGTGACAGTGTCTTTTAAAAAGAAACTATTGCCATTTAAGACGTACACTTGACATTGTCATATATAAATTAATTATAACCACTATCTCAGAACGTACATCTGACACTGTCTTATATAGATAAACTATAACCATTCACGACGTAAAAGTGACGTTGTCTTATACAAGTAAACTATAAACATTCATGACGTACCTGTGACGTTGTCCTATATAAGTGACGTTGTGACGTGTATAAGTGACGTAAAAGTGACGTTGTCTTATATATGGAAGCTATGACTATTCATGACGTACATGTTACGTTGACCTATACAAGGTAACTATAACAGTAGCTAGCAAAAGGGGTGTATCGTCACACTTTCCATAAACAGCTTAAATCATAGGTCACCACAATCATTTACCCTCAAATCTTACCCAACAAAATTAAACAATTACCTTCAATATTATTAAGAACAATTACCCCCAAATCTGCATAAACAGCTTAACAGGATCATTTACCACGAATCTTGCCCAACAAAATTAACCAATTACAGTAATTGGTTAATTTTGTTGGGCAAGATTCGTGGTAAATGATCCTGTTAAGCTGTTTATGCAGATTTGGGGGTAATTGTTCTTAATAATATTGAAGGTAATTGTTTAATTTTGTTGGGTAAGATTTGAGGGTAAATGATTGTGGTGACCTATGATTTAAGCTGTTTATGGAAAGTGTGACGATACACCCCTTTTGCTAGCTACTTATAACCATTCACGACGTACCTGTGACGTTGTCTCAAATAAATAAATTATAACTATTCACGAAATACTTGTTACAATGCTTCGTAGAATGAAGTGGTACTCATTTACGATCAGCAACACGATAACGTTGGCAAATAACTGGAGTTTTTCTACGCGGTCTCACAGATCATACAGTTTTGCTACAGCAACATTCACATGTACACGTCTAGGAAATAGATGTAAAAGGCCGTATCGCAGCAGTTGAAATGTCTAATGGAAATAAGGCTTTACTGGAGTTTGTCTCAAAGTCTCCAATACAAGTTTCACTTTGATTTACTGCTCCATCATGATAAATTTTTTTCACATAGTGTCGCACGGCTCTCGGCCGTCATTATATTCTCTATAAAAAGAGAATATACTACTACTCACTATAAAAATATATTAATCTCGCGTTCTCCAAAGTCAAGATAATTATTAATCTAAAAATTTCTTTTATATAATTGATCTTAATATTTATGAATAAAGGGATTCTAACGCAAAAACACTCATTAGTGTTTGATGCTCATTCAATTGTGAGTTGGCTATATTCATGAGTGAACGATTTCAGCGACCTTCTGAAATTCATAGGGGTGAATATTCAATACTATTTACAGACATGAAGCGGTGAATGGAGAGCACCAATTACAGTTATAGGCTTTATTGTACCATACAAACTTCATAGTTCAAAAGCATTGGTTTTCACAGGGAAACCAAATAAATATTCATGAACAGTTATTAGGTAATCACTAGATTATTGGAAATAAACTAGATTATTGGAGTATCACAGAAAATCTTACCACGATAACGAAAGGTGCGCTAGGATCAACTAAATGTTCAGGATCGATGGAGATCCTTGAGGACAACCACGACAGTCCTTTGGATCCGACTGTACTGTAGAGTACAGTCTCGTGCACCCCGTGACCTGCGACTGTACGCGAAATTTTTATGTAATAAAGGCATGACTGTTGCTGAACCGTAATAATGAATGAGGGAGTTGAAAAAATATTAAGCGCGGTAACAGGACTGGTGGAAATGCATGAAGGAAGATAATGTATGTTGGGTAGGAGTAAGAAACAGTTTGTGAGATGATGTTAATGAAAAGTAGGTTGGTGGTGGGAAATAAAAATGATTACCTGTTATATCGGTTATGTTCATTACATCACTCGTGCCTGTTACATCGCTAAAATCACTTAAATGGCTAATGTTCTTAGGATAGTTAGCTGAAGCTAAATTATAAGATGTCAAAGCACACAATTAAAGGTTAGGGAGATTCAGGCTCAGACTACGGGTGTGACTTAAGTTTATTGTTCGCGAACACAGAGTTGGTGCTGAACTGAACCCAGGAGCAAGTTTATGCGACGAGGTTGACACCGAACATGAACATGTTTCTTTAGTGAATTAATTTGAGAAATTTGGATCGCTGCAGGCCAGGGTGCTAAGGTGTATTACTCATACATGTTATAGCACAATTTTCTAACATAATTTTCGAAAAGGTAAAATTATAAAATGGCATATTTTTTAATAATTAGAATTTTAAATTTTACATGCATTGTTTAAAGCAAAACTAATTATGAACGGACACACAGTACATAGTGTCAATAAATTCTAGGGGACAGTGAGTGAAATAATGAACACAAATTTGACGCGGTGAATCATATAGTGAAAATTTATAAACTTATCAGAGATAAAATGAATTTTTAACTAAGATTAGCTGTGTGCAATGGATAAGCAGCTTCGAGTACAAAAAGTATTATAAATAAGCGTAGGAATAAATGATCATTTAAATCCGCACACAATTGTTTCTTGCCAATTATATAGGCTATACTATTTCCACTTATTATCTATATTTAAATTCATCATTTAACTTATATCCTAATCTTTATTTATGATCAAATTTAAATTCATCATAAAACTTATATCCTAATCTTTATTTATGATCAAATTTAAATTCATCATCAAACTTATATCCTAATCTTTATTTATGATCAAATTTAAATTCATCATCAAACTTATATCCTAATCTTTATTATGATCAAATTTGAATTCATCATAAAACTTATATCCTAATCTATATTTATGATCAAATTCATCATAAAACTTATATCCTAATCTTTATTTGCATTCATATCACAAGATAATTTCTGCAATATGTGAGAGGAAATATGTACCACCTTACCTGTCTGGCGCAGCAGCACTGACAAGCGGTTGACGTGAGCCCCGAACAGGAACTTGTAGAACCTGAAGAAGATTACGTGAAGGGTTAATTTAATGGACATGATGTTCACTTCATCTGCACTTTCTTGCACAGCCTGAACAAGATTATGTGAAGGGTTAATTTAACGTACATGATGTTCACTTCATATTCACTTCCCTGCACAGCCTGGGCAAAGTGATGCCAAGGTTTAATTTAAGGTACATGATGTTTATTTAATGTTCACTTCCTTGTACAGCGCGAGCAAAGTGATTCAAGAGTTTAATTTAACGTACATGATGTTCACTTCATCTTCACTTCCTTGCACAGCCTAAGCAAATGAACGCCAAAGTTTAACTTAACGGGTTTGAGTTCACTTCAACTTCACTTCCCTATGCAGCCCGAAAAAGATGATGCCAAGGTTCAATTTTAACGCACAATATGCGTAAAAATTAACTTCACACTGAAGCCTCACATGTCCTAAAGCTGACTGCTTTCCACTCATTTTATTGCTCGCACTTAAGTTCACGGCCAACACTGGAACTTAAGTCTCACACTGAAGTCTCCAGCTCCCGCCACAGCCCCCGGCCGCTGCATGGAACTAATTACAGCGTCCGGACTCATAACGTCGCGATGTCCGTAAAGTCGCTTCAATAACGCCACGAAGCTCAAACTTTTCACATCTCGTTCCTAAGCGGGAATTTTGGTGGCTGTTTCTGCTATACGAGGCGAAGGGCTACGTACATTGCCATGCCAGATTCAAGTCTGTTCTGCCATCTAACTTTGTTATTGCTGTATAAGTCAACATAATAGACGTCGGTGACTTGGAATGGGAAATTATTCCACGGTTGTTCAATCGACAACATAAAACGTGATTGAATTTGACGGATTTTTCCGTATATGTCGAAAATCTCCAGCATGTAACTCGTTAAACTTCGCCACGAACTTAAGAAGGAACTGGCAACTGGAGTTCGCATTCACAAAGCCCTTTCATATCTGGCTGAATATTTTATAACATCAAGAGACAGATTCGAAAGCTTAACTCGTAAAATTTCCATCAGCACTAAAAATTTGAAGTTTGAAGAAAATTCAAACTTTACCAAACTGTCCAATATTTGTACTCAGGATTAGCATGCTTATGAGGCTGGATAACGTTTTTAGTTTAGTAATTTACATGGATGTTTGTGGTGGTAAATCTATTGTATTACACGGCTCATCGCAGGGGCAAATGCATTGTATTACACGGCTCTTCGCAGTGGCAAATGTATTGTATTTCACGGATTTTTCTGGTGGCAAATGCATTGTATTACACGGCTTTTTCTGGTGGCAAATGCATTGTATTACACGGCTTTTTCTGGTGGCAAATGCATTGTATTACGCGGCTCTTTATGGTAGCAAATGTATTGTATTACATGGCTCTCTGTAGTGGCAAATGTATTGTATTACACGGCTCTTCGAAGTGGCAAATGTATTGTATTACATGGCTCTATATGGTGGCAAATGCATTGTATTACACGGCTATTCATGGTGGCAATTACATTGTACATTACACGGCCCTTTGTGGTGGCAAATGTATTGCATTACACGGCTTTTTCTGGTGGCAAATGCATTGTATTACACGGCTCTCTGTAGGGGCAAATGTATTGTATTAAACATCAAGTAGATGAAAGAAGCCCATTTTTTTAATCATGAGTATAAAGATTCTAATGGGCAGGAAACAATTTCTTGTAAGGTAAGTTAAATTTGTGCACAGCAGTTCTCATTGCAAGTAATGTTATTATTCATTTTATTTATCATAATGTACGCAAGTTAGAGAACAGATTTATTTCTCTGACCACACAAATAATTAATTTCTCTGACCTCACAAATCATTAATTTATCTGATCTCACAAATGAAACATTTCCCTGATAACCTTTAATTTTGAAAGAAAGAAATGAAATCTATGCAGCAAAATATAATTGTTCTCTGAAAACTTCGATTAGAATGTGGCACATAAAATGGCATGTCACCCACGAAGAGTTTCATCTAGAATTTTAAATTTGATCGTTCGTTAATGTTCTGATGTTTTGAACAGAGAATGCATGAAATGAAAAATAGTTGAAGATGTTCAACGTTGATAGTTTTCTGTCTTAAATTAACGTGAAATTATTTCAATCTCACCTGAAGCAAATAGAGGAATAACTGCTGAGGTCACGGCCTTCATTACCAGCAATAAGCTCTTCGAAAATCCCTGATGTGTTGCCTCTGTTTGGCTTCAAAAGTTCTTCAACGTTCCCGTTTTGGTTTTCAACGTTCCCGTTTTGATTTTCAACGTTCCCGTTTTGGTTCTCAACGTTCCCGTTTTGATTTTCAACTTTCTCATTTAGATGTTCGGTATTCTTGCTTTGGTTTTCAGTATCGGAATTGGGATTTTTGCATCCCAAATTATTAACTTTTGTCGAGGACGGAAGCAGCAAGACTGGACTGACCAAATCCGCAAAATCGCCGCTTTCACCGAAGAGAGAATCAGCGAAGATGAACCCAGACGTGCGATGGCCTGATGTTCCTGCTCAACAGCATTCAAATTAAACTGCATTTGACCTCAACGGCAACAATCCAATTGCGGCAAATATTTTTACTAATAAGCGGTGATTTTTGTGTAGCCGAGAGCCTTTAGAAGGGATGGGGCCCTTATCACCATTATAAGAAGGGTTGGGGCTCTTATCACCATTATAAGAAGGGTTTGGGCTCTTATCACCATTATAAGAAGGGTTGGGGCTCTTATCACCATTATGAGAAGGGTTGGGGCTCTTATAATCATTATAAGAAGGGTTGGGGCTCTTACATTATAAGAAGGGTTGGGGCTCTTATCATCATTTTGAGAAGGGTTGGGGCTCTTATAATCATTATAAGAAGGGTTGGGGCTCTTATCACCATTATTAGAAGGGTTGGGGCTCTTATCATCATTTTAAGAAGGGTTGGGGCTCGTATCACCATTATAAGAAGGGTTGGGGCTTTTATCACCATTATGAGAAGGATTAGGGCTCTTATCACCATTATAAGAAGGGTTGGGGCTCTTTTCATCATTATAAGAGGGGTTGGGGCTCCTATCATCATTTCAAGATGGGTTGGGGCTCTTATCATCATTATAATAAGGGTTGGTTCTCATATCACCATTATAAGAAGGGTTGGGGCTCTTTTCATCATTATAATAAGGGTTGGTTCTCATATCACCATAATAAGAAGGGTTGGGGCTCTATTCACCATTATAAGAAGACAGTTTCCTAGGGTTGGAAGACTAGCGTGGAACTACAGACATCCAAATGTAATGGATAGACTGAATAGATAGATTCAGTCTGAAATAGAACTGAACTGAACTGAAAAATAGATTAAGTCAGCTACTTGATCCCACTTCTGCGCAATCGTTCGATAACTTGAACTTTTGATTAACTTGATCTATTGATTCTTACGTATGTGCTAGTTTGTTGTTTGTGTTGTTATGGAGTTATCGTGCCTGTACGGCCTATGCAATGATTATCGTAATACTTCCCCTTCTAGCTTTATTATTCACTTCAGGCCAAACGTGGACAGCTTCAGGTTCCGGAAATCTACGCGTATTTTAGGAGTAAAATGGACTTTCTACCGTAGCAGTTGAACATAAGTTACTAAATATGATTCATTCCATATTCGCTCTATCTCATTAGCATTTAAATAAACTATTTAATATATGAGAAATATCAAAAATCTGACAAGTATTTCTAATATCTACAGCTCACAGCGAGCGCTGTTGCGACCGAGTCTAGTCTTCATAAACGACATAATTTTGCACGGTCGCATAAAACCTTATTCGCGGTTAAACTCAAAGTGCTCTTGCCTTCGACTGCTTCATAACTTTAATATTTATAAATGCGTCCCGAATTCTCAAGCGATGCTGGAAGCTCCTAAATTCATAGCCCACCGTCGGTTCCAATTAAAATCCCGCGTGTACTGAAGGTTAATACCTCTACCTGCTGGTAGTGGCCAAGGCTGGTCGTAAAGACCTGAACACCTGGAGCAGCGTGGACCAGCTGGCATCATATTTTACGCGCAGGTGCAATATAATCGTAAAATTCAAGGTTAAATTCAAGCAATAAAAGCTGTGTCTGTAAGCGGAGCAACCTCCCATTATTGGGCACGGCGGCCAGCAGTGTTTGCTTCCAGAATCTAGAAAATTTCAGTTTAGTTTCACTTGCAGTAGCTAAGATTTCATGGATGTGGGTGATGGGTGATGTGTGGTGGACTACTTGCGATGGGTGATGTGTGATGGACTGCTTGTGATGGGTGATGTGTGATGGGCAACTCGTGATGGGTAACTTGTGATGGGCAAATTGAAAATTCATTACATTTAAAACCTGTAAGTTTAAACTGTTGTGGTTAACATGTCAAGTTCACATGTTATGCCTAACCTGTGACAGTTAACATATAATGCTTAACCTGTAAAACGTTTAAAATGTAATGCTTAACATTTAACGGTTAAAATGTGATACTCAACCAGTTATGGGGCCGGTGCGACGGGTGTGTGGTGAGGTGTAGGCAAAATTCCAGGCATAGCCGTGGGTTGTGATGGGTTGAGTCCACCCACACCACCACGCCCCGAACTCGCACGACTGAAGCCCAATGCCTTCAGTGGGTGAGATAAGGTTGAACGTAATGGGTTGTTTAGTTATTTGTATTTATCTTACAAGTATAATGGGTTGTGTAATAGTTCGTAATTATCTTACAAGTATAATGGGTTGAGTAATAATTCGTACTTATCCTACAAGTATAATGGGTTGAGTAATAATTCGTAATTATCTTACAAGTGTAATGGGTTGTCTAGTCATTCGTAGTTATCTTACAAGTATAATGGGTTGTTTAGTTATTCGTACTTATCTTACAAGTGTAATGGGTTGTCTAGTTATTTGTATTTTTATTACATGTATAATGGGTCGTTTAGATATTTATATTTATCTTACATGCATAATAGGTTGTTTAGTTATTTGTACTTATATCTTACTAGTATAATGGGTTGTTTAGTTACTCGTACTTATCTTACATGCATAATGGGTTGTCTAGTTATTCGTGCTTATCTTACTAGTATAATGGGTTGTTTAGTTATTCCTACTTATCTTACAAGTAAAATGGGTTGTCTAGTTATTCTTATTTATAATACATATATAATGGGTTGCTTAGTTATTCGTATTCATCTTACATGTATAATGGGTTGTCTAGTAAGTTTATTCATGATTTTTCGTACATGTATAATGGGTTATATTGTAAGTAATTCATGATTGTTTTACTTACAGGTCAACACAACAACTTTTACAAATTTTACTTTTAAGTACAAATATAATAGGTTATCAAGATAAAAATTAATTCATTGAAGTAATATGCATCGCAAAAGCTTAATGGCTACATAATGATTTATTCATGGAAGTTTTTCATCGTAAAAGCTTAATGTGTTGTCTAATAAGTTATTCATGGTGGACATTTATCGTACAATTATATTGCGCAATCTAGTGAGCCATTTATAGTACAAGCGTAATGGAGTCTCTCATACTTAATGCCTGAAGTGCGTAGAAGTTCTAACATCATACAATAGATACATCATACAATAGATACAACATCGTACATTCAATAGATACAACATCATACATACAATAGATACAACATCATACATACAATAGATACAACATCATACCTACAATAGATACAACATCATACCTACAATAGATACAACATCATACATACAATAGATACAACATCATACATACAATAGATACAACATCATACATACAATAGATACAACATCGTACATACAATAGATACAACATCGTACATACAATAGATAAAACATCGTACATACAATAGATACAACATCGTACATACAATAGATACAACATCGTACATACAATAGATACAATAGATGCAACATCATAAAATATAATGGAAGTGTTCACCGAGTTGAGCGAGTGCTGAGACGTTGCATGTGGTGAAGGAGAGTGAAGTGAAGTGCAGTTGGTGTGATGAGTGTAAGTGGTCACTCCCACTCACCACAAATGCCACCTGCAACAATAATCATCATTATTATAGATTTACAATTACCGTACGAATAACGTAACAAAATGCTACTGGTGTGTTTCTAAATCATGTACAGTTTAGGTTGAAATAACGTAACAAAGTCTTGTATGAAATATTCACACAGGAGTGAATGTTGAGATAAAATATTCAATATTATTTCAGAGAAATTTAGCGACATTGACTTCAAACATCAATGTTATTTGTGTTTACATCAATGTTGTTTATTATTGATCAATTGCATTTTATTAAAAATGAAGACGAATGCACCAGCATTGTTTTCTAGAGCTTCAACAACTTTAAATGAACCACAAGTCAAGTTATTATTACATCAAAACTTAATAGCTTGGTACGAAGTTACAACAAAGGTTAAATAATAAAACACCCTTGTGATTTTGTTATGTTTTTTTCCTACGTATTTTTGGCCTTGAATTTTGGCCATTAGTGATTTTCCTGAGGATCTCAGGCCGGAGTTTTAATCAGCATTTGCGCGGTGCCCTCGGCCATTATTTTGCGATGGGCGCGGGATACGAGGGGACAGATCCTTCGTGTAGCTCAAGTAATGCGAGGGGCGCGGGATACGAGGGGACAGATCCTTCGTGTAGCTCAAGTAAAGCGAGGGGCGCGGGATACGAGGGGACAGATCCTTCGTGTAACTCAAGTAATGCGAGGGCGTGGGATACGAGGGGACAAACGAGGGGACAGATCCTTCGAGTAACTCAAACAATGCCCCTTACCGTTTAATGCATAACAAAACAGTAAATTTTACAATAAATTTTCTTTGTATTAATAATTATCGATGTTATGTTCAATTTCGACCAATTGCTTTTTCCAGTTTGTGAGCTAAAAAATTGTTCGTTATTTTTCTGATAGAGAATACAAAAGTAGGAAACCCTTAAGAAATCGGATACTATAGTGATAAAAAACACGTCGGATACTATAGTGATAAAAACTAACTCGATAAAAATTGCCCCTGATTATCTCACATCAACAGTCAGGTCAATAGGTAATAATTTGTTTACATGTCATCGCTAAGAATCTTGATGGAGACATTTTCCTTCTCTCTAAGTTCACTAAATTTAAGACTACAGCTTTCTTTGGTAGGATCGTAATAAGATCTTTCATCGAGTCGGAAACTTTCCTTTAGTTTCATTCTTTTTTTACGATTCATTGCCTCCGTCATGGGAAAAATTGAGTTTTCATGAAGAAATTCACAGTTTCTCCTTCCCATTAAGAATTCAACATTAACGCCTTCAGTATGAAAAATTTATTCGCGGAGTTGTCTAACTAACTTCTCTACATTTTCACATTTATATTTAACTTTACAATTAGAAATGGATTTCTCCTCACACACTAAATGTCACTTTTTAATCATAGCATAATAATCGTCAAGATTTAAAATTATTTAAATCCGCACACTATTGCCATTACATAACTTCATGATGTTTCATTTTACATATAAATGTCACACAAGACGCGATAAGAAAAATTCTACTGTGAAATAACCAAATGCCAAACGTGCCCACGTGGGCTGCGAAAAGTCAGCTGAAAAATAAAAGTAGATCTTGGCTGGACAGAACTCAGCATTAAAAATAAAAGTAGATCTTGCCTGGACAAAACTCAGCATTAAAAATAAAAGTAGATCTTGCCTGGCCAGAACTCAGCATTAAAAATATAAGTAGGTCTTGCCTGGACAGAACTCAGCATTAAAGATAGAAGGTCTAGCCTGCGCATGCGAGATGCAAAACAGGCGACTGACGTTCGCAAAACAGAGTCCAAAAGCGGCGGAAATGAGGTGAAGGGACTATTTCCGGACGATGATTATAGCCGCTTGAGAAATGACCTGTTGGCCGATAGCGACGACGAGCCGCGATCTCGCGAGGGGAATTCGAGAACGAACACAATTTTATTCGTAAGTTTCACGATGCTCGTAGTTTGGAGTCTTCAGAACCAAATTTGTATCGTTATGTTTCAGCATGAGTAGAATTTTCATAATGATTGCGGGACCCAGGAAAATCTTGAGATTTATTGAGGTTTATTGAGGCTGATTTAGTAGATGATCTGCACGTTGACATGCAAAATCCTACCTTGTTTCTGCGCGTGAATGGAGCATGAGGAATAATGACGACTTCTTTCAGCCACTGCCTTCCTTTCCCTCCAGCCTGCCTCCACAAACTCCAAGCCGAGGCTCCAACGTCTCCAACGCCCCAGTCTTCCACCAGCTCCACACTTTTTAGGATTAAATTAAATTCCTATGACTGTGTCATGTGGTCGATGAACTGTAAATTGTTTACGATAATGCGTCAAATAATTTGGTTCTAAAGATATATTAGGTTTCTCTATTATCATTAGGTAGTTTGGTGATTTATTTATAGTTTGAATATTCATAGTTAAGAAAGTGGTACCTGATAAGAAAGTTAAGGTACCATAGTTAAGGAAGTGGTACCTGGTACCTGGTAATTGGTACCTGATGGAAGCGTTGGTAGGTTTGGTCCAGCCGTCGAGCCGGTACCTGAAGAACAGGAGCCCCACCTGGTGGGGGGGCAGGTGGAGGGAGGGGGTCACCAGACGTGGGGGGGTGTCCGTCTTGCTGCTCTCCGCGCCCCCCACGAGAGAAAGGAAACGCGTGGCTATCCGTCGGAGGGAGGAGAGGGGAAATTGAGGGAGGAGGATGGGAAATTGAGAGAGGCATGTAAAAAAATTTTGCCGCATCACGCGTCCAAAACAGGGTAGGAACCCCGTTTTGGAACCCCTCCCCCCGTGGGAAATTGGGGGAGGGAAATGGACTTAAAGAGATAAAAGTTGGTGACGAAGCTTGGAGATGATTAATATCAGATCGGAAAAAGGTTTGTAATTTGGACCTGGTAAGGGCATCATAAGGGTTGATATGGGGGATGAAAGGTTGAAAAGGACATGAAAGTGCTTCGAGGAAACGAAATAGCTCTAGACAATTCATGTCCGCCTCTATTTCATGTGAATAAAGCCATCATCGATTGAATCGAAACAAAAATCGGCTGATGATGGCGTGAAGAAAGCTGGAATTGCTCCTTTATTGAATTAAAGACAGAGCAATGGGAACGCACAACGTTTGAAAGGCGATTAAAAGAGGTCAGAGAAAACAGTGAAGAGGAATAAAGGGAGCAAAAGCAGTAAAGAATTATGCATGATAGAATAGGAATGAATAACAATAGGAACGTAAAACATTAGGCAAAAAAAGCCAGTAGAGGACAAATAATCAAGAGAAGTGCTCAGAGGCGAAGAAGATAGAGGAGCCACAAAAGGATAGAACAAAAAGACAAGATAATAGAAATAGACAGAAGATGATAGGACAAGAGTAGACAAGAAGACAAGACTGTAGAAAACGACAGAAGATAAGAAAATCGATGAACCCTTGCTAAAACAGGGCAAAAGGAGGAATGAAACATGAATGGGAGAGCAGGATATGAGAAAGGAGGGGACATGATGACAATGGGTCAGGAAAAATAAAAAAAATAAAAAGAAGGACAGAGAGGCCAATAATGGGCTAGAAATAGATGGAAATGTAAGATGAGAGGGCGTGAGGGGGAATATGAGTGAGAAACGGTGGGTGATGGTGAAAAAGAGTGAGAAAGGGTAAGAAAGATGAGGACGGAGGGAAAATGGCGAAGAGGGAGAAAGAGTTGGAAAGCACCTGAAAGTGCGAGACGAGGTGAAAAGGGTAAGGGTGGGTGAAGAAAGGTACGAAAGGCAAAGCAAGCATGGGAAAGGGTAGGAAAGTGCGTTGACGGGTAAAAACTGTGAAAAACGCAACAAGACAAGAAGGAAACCAGAGAAAGTTTGATTGAGAGCGCGATACGGGCTTGAAACTTTGGAAACATGCAAAATGGGGCAAGTACGTGCAATAGGAGGTACGAACGTGAGGGAAATTGCGAAAACAGGCAATGAATGGGAGAAAATTTATCCGAGAAGAAGCAAAAAATGTGAAAAATCTTTTTAAACGGTCAAAAAAGAATTGAAAAATTGTCAAAAAGGGTTGAAAATATCAAAAAAGTAACGAGAAATGCTGTAAAAAGATACGCTAAAGCAGCAAGGAACAGACGCATGAGAACGAGAAAGGATGCGTGAGAGTTTGTTTCAAAGTTTGGTTATGTTGTCCATGCATAATGTTTGCTGGTACCTGAATCATTAACCATAATGGCATAAGTATACAAAACATTCATCGTCTCACCCTGCAGGTTGTCGTCGGGACAGTCGTGCTCATCGTCGCCCAGCAGACAGTCTTCCTCGCGGTCGCAGACGGCGCTCGCCACGATGCACGACCTCGTCATCGCGCACGAATATTCGTCGGGACGACAGTCGTCGTCCGATACGAAATTCATCGGATTTTTGACTGAATTCGGCGGCTCGTACCGATTCAAAGCGAGGTTTTTAGGATCGTATGAATACTGGTCGTGATTTAGGATGGAATTCTTTTGGTTTTGGGGAGCGTAAACATCCGGGTAGGAATGATGGTTAGGGTTATTTGGGTCTTCGGGGTCGAGGTCGCTCGGAACGAAGATGTTCTCATTATAATTTGTGGAATCGAGGTTCGTGGCGCTGAAAACATTTGGAATTTTGGGGCGGTAATGAAGGGAGGATAGTGAGTTCAAAGAATCGTTATAAGATGGGTTCAGAGACGGGCTTAAAGATGGGTTTTGAGATGGTTTCTGAGAAGTGTTCGTGGAAGGGTTTTGAGCTGGGTTCTGAAGTGAATTCAGAGACGAGTCGAATGATGGGTTCAGAGATGGATTAAGCAGTGGATTCAATGACGGGTTTAGTGATGGATTGTTTGGCGATGGATAGGAGGATGGTACTCGTTGACTACCTGGTGGAGGCTGGTAGTAACCAGAAGGCTGCGAAGGACTCTGACGCAGTAAGGTAGGAGACTTCCTCCCATGCTGCCCAAGCACCCCAGCAAAGGGGTCCTCAGGATGCTGCCGACTGTCTTGGTCGCTCAGGAGTTGAGTTGGGGGTGCGCTCTCATTTCCTGGGCGCTTGACGCTCCCGTCAACAACGGCTTTGTCGAGCGGTGGTGAAGGAGGTCGCTTGTGGTCAGAATGGCTTAAATTCTCATCACTGGAATAGCCGGATGAAGATTCTCGGGGATCAGATGGAAGAACCAACCGAGAGTTTTGATTTGCTGATGAGGCTTGAGCAATATTCTGATCTTGTTCACCAGGGAATAACACTCCGTTATTGGCGGAATGCAATGGCACGTGATTTTGGCCGGCTGACGGGGAGTAATTTATGTCTCCACACTTGCGCTCGTCTTCGCCATTTAAACAGTCGAAGTTTCCGTCGCAGATTTGCCAGCTTCATGAAGAAATAAAAAAGTTAAGAACAACGATTAAGGACAACAAATTTCACTATACCAAAGCTCCTCGAATGGCAGGAGTTGTGCGGTATTTTTTGAAAAAGTCTATTGAATCTGTATTTTTTTAGATTTTTCTTCCGAATTACATTTCGTCGTCCTACTGACAATACGCAATCACTTAAGTTGTGGGTGGGTAAACGTTGAAATAATTCCAATGACCCACCTCTGGATGCACTTGTCACACACGTATGTCCCGGGTGGGCAGGCGAAGCAGTGGGTTTCATCTGTGCAGTCAGGCACTGTCATCACCCCGTCACACACCCCAGATTGAGGCACGCACACCCCACTCACAGGGCACACGAATTCATTCTCATGGCAGTGCAGGCAACCCGTCTGGTGGGAGAAAGAGCTAGGATGTTTTACCACAATACTGACGGGAAATCGGAGAAAATTTGTGAGGTATATTTATTTTGAGTATAAATGTAAGACCTATAAGAAGGCGAGTATACCCGGTATACCCTATCAAAATTCAGGGACCGCCTAGGCTTCGGCCGAATAGTCACTCCACTCGGCGCAAAGTTATTCTGGGTCTGCTTGGCCATCCGATCGAAATCAGTTTCTGGGGCCATACTTTCAAAACTCGCTAAGTGAGCGTAAGTACTTACGCTCTATTTTCTAGTCTATGATTGGTGGATTTTGCTTGAAAGGTCGTCAATGATTGGCTGATGAACTTACGATCTCTTAACTTTCTTGAAAGTATAGGCCCTGGTCAGAATCTCCTTCCCGACTTTATAGTCGCCTCAGAGTATGAAGAGGTTTGGCCGATCCGAGTCACACCGAGCTAGCAAGCTGCCCAAAGGCTGCCCTTCGAACCCTGGGCCGAAGCTGACATAAAGAAGCTAATTTACGTACTCCCCGCGTCCTAAGCGGCCCTAATGCAGAGTCACCCATGACTGTAAATTTTGTTAGGATACCCATTATAGATGAGTGGCGGCCCATAGAGGTGAGTGAGAGCTCACAATAGTATGAGTGGGGACCCCAAATAGGGACAGAGGAGACCCATAATAGGTGAGTGGGGATCAAGAAAATGTTGAGAGGGAACCCACTAAATGGTGAAAAGGAATCAGAAGAAGTGTTGAAGGATAATATTAGTGTCACATTACATAAATGGTGAGAAGAGATCAAAAAAAGTGTTGAAGGATAATATTAGTGTATGGTTATCTCATTTAATATAACCTCGTCCAGTCCATCGCTGGGACAATCTTTCCTGCCGTCGCAGAGCCAAGTGGCGGGGACGACGAGCCCGTCGCCGCATCTGAACGTCGCCGAGCCTGGAATAGCGAACTGGATTAACTTAAATATATAAAAATTTATTATTTAGTATTTAGTAGTTATTCAATTCAGTTATTCAATTCAATTCGAGTAGTTATTGTACTAAAAAAATCAATTAGTTGACAGTAATTTATTTGTTAAAATAGTATTGCCAATTTGCGCATCGGAATGACTCGGAGCTCTCCTGATATCTAGAAGACTGGATTATTAAAAATTTGACCATTTTCATCAACTAGAATAAAATTAGTCTAAAAATTAAGTAAGAATTCTTACGAGAAATTAGTGAATATTTTTTTTAAAACATACCATTGTTTATTCATCAACCAGATGTAATGGCCTGCAATCAAATTGAAGTTATTCTCGTAGCTCCAGAAAACAGTTGAGTCATAGCGAAACATTCCTGATCAGAAACTATTTACGACATACAGTATACTTCTCACCATCCTCGTCTGCGTTCGATAATATTCCATTTCTTTCATAATTTTTTTGAACAGAGTTGATTTTATCGGTGTTTGTTTTAGCATGGGGATGCGTTCTGCCGTCGAGGTGGTCTCGCCTCGGTACCACAAAGCCGTTACCAGACCTCAGGTCTGAAGGGTTCTTGATGTTGGAAAATGAGGCGCCATCTTGGAGTTTTGTAGACATAGTCTGGGAAGAGCTGGCCGTCCTGTGCAGATCTAGAACAAAAAAATATAACTCAGTACCCACTGCAGTGAGTGACAGAGAGCGCATTTCATTTACCGTTATATTAATCCAGAAATTTACATCCAAAATCAATTAACTTTGTGAAAAATTGAATTTTATTGATAAATAGGCTCCTGACGAATAAAAAATTTAGTGGCCGTTGGAATTTTGAAAAAATTCTCATCTTCAGAGTAAAGAAGGAAATAATTTTAAATGATAGACCTTTAAGGGGCTTTTATGCGGGGACAGTTGGAGCAGATTGGGTAACGGCAAGAAGTTTCCACTTTGAATATCTGACTGACAATTTGAAAAAATTATAAATTCTTATTATCATACATGAATTGTATCAAAATTATCAAAAATTACGTCCAAAATTAAAAAAAAATAATTACCTTAAATTTTGATGTTAGAAGTATTTGCCACCATTACTTTACGGTTATACTTTCCCAGTGTATATGCACCTTATAACGTACATTAAGGAAGAAAACAGCATTCAGATATTAATTCAAATAATCTCAACGCGCGCTATATCCCTGGGACCCTCCTTTCAAAACTGGCTAAGTGAACGCAAGTACTTACGCACTATTATCTTGTCTGTGATTGGTGGATTTTGCTTGAGAGGCCGTCAATGATTGGCTGATGAACTTATGATCTCTTAATTAACTTTTTTGAAAGTATAGGCATATAAATAAATAATATATATAAATACAATATAAATAAATATAAAATAAACATTATATATTAAATAAATTAATATAATAAATAAATAAATAGTCTGACCAGCACAGAAGGCCTCGTCTTCGCCGGCAGCGCAGTCGGCGACGCCGTTACAGAGCAGCGGCCGCGCAAGACACGCCCCCGCCACGGCCGCCTCAGGGCAGATGTCGGCGCTGCACCGCACGTCAGAGCGGCACAAGAAACCGTTGTCCGGACACTCGTACGCTGCGTTCTTCTTGCGGATTTTGGCCGATAACTCTGCTACAAAAATACAAATTCTTTTGATTTAACCCTCAACCGCCTGACATGAGTAACCGGAGCGCAGAACTTGGCCGATAAATACGCTACAAAAATAAACAATTGTTTTGATTTAACCCTCTACCACCTGCCATGAGTAACCGGAGCAATATTGTCACAAGCCTTAGTAGTATATTAGTATTACTAATATAATATAATATTAGTAACATTAATAATATTAGTAACCGGAGCAATATTGTCACAAGTCTACTTCCCAAAAAGGATACGTTCTAGTGAGCGCAGAATGACTTGCACTGATGGTTGCCGCCACGTACGACAACTTTAAAATGTTCTCTGTTGCGTACAAACGTCACCAGGTTGCTACACTCAATAGTTTATGTATAATTTTTTAAGTTGAAAGTTATGTTCCCGGAGAGTGACATAAGGCGGTAGAGGGTTAAATACATTATAACAATACTAAATTTGATTAAAAATACGATCGAAATTTCGAACAGAAAATAATCTCGTAATGATAGTCGGAGCGAATGTCCCGCGCCGCATCGATAAAGCGTAAATAATTCTAATTTTATTTTACCTTATAATATTGAAAATAGCTTGTGTGCAGAAGTTGAGAGGGGACTAGGCGACATAATTCAATCAAGGACAGGATATGGCTTGACCGCAAGACAACGTCTCATACATATGCGATATATCACGCAATATGCAATAAACTCGCAATATGATATGAAAGCGAGTTTATTTAAATCGATGGCTGACAAAGGAGAACTCGAAACTAATGCTATAAGTGCTCCGTCCTCTCAGTAGGCTTAACTGTGTGCGACGCCTGCCTATACAAGGACCTTAAATTTCGCACAAAATTACTACGATTTGTTGTACAGCCTTGCAAATAAGGTCTACAGCCAGCTTTGCAGAGGTAGGTAACGGCTCTGACCGCTGGCCGGAAATAATGGCCACGAGTGCGGGAGCTGTTATACCGCTGTACGGTTCAACGTGTCTGGTAAAGTAGGAATTTTTAATTTTTTTGTATCGGGTCAACTTTTGGCCGCGCTTTTAGTTGCAAGCCGCCGCATTTCTCCGAACATGACCAATGATGAGAAGTACGGGAAACATCTTTCCCTAGACGTAGGGTTCATTAATCTGTAATCTCCATTCTTAACTATTATCCTTGATTTGTTCTTACATTTATTACCATTTCTGCACCTTAAGACCGGCTCATCATTGTGGAAGCTCTTTATAATCTGTAGCATTATGAAATATATTTCGTGCCCCTTTACTATTTATTAATTTGATCTTCATCAACTTCCTATATTATATAGGAGCAGCGGGCAGAAACATTCCATTGTGAATGTAGTGCATTTGCCCCGCTACGATGTGAAGGAGTAAGTAACTGGGCCTAATTTTGTTCAGATTGCCTTTTCTATGCCAGTAGTTTTTTTCAACTTAATATGCGTATCGATTAAAACTTAAATGTTCTAGTGTTTCATTGCAACCCCCTTTTTGTACTATTTTCGCGGCGGAATAATCATATGCACGCGAACTTTTTACACGTTTATTCCGAGGAAAAACTGAGGCGCTACGGATGCTACCTGAACAAATAACTGCAAGTTCTGATCAGTGATAAATTATAATAATGAAGATAATAATTTTCATAGTGAAAATAATAAACTTCATTCATATTTTTATCCAGCGAACTCTTCGGTCATCAGGTATCGTAAGTCGTGTTCCTTACCGCGACCAAGCTTGGATATATTGACGACTAATATACATCTTAATCTCATCAGCATCGTCACTTCCTTGGCAATACTTCACTTTCCACTTGGGGTCACATGTTCACCATAACGCAGTGGTTCCCAAACTTTTTCAGGCTGGCGCCCCCTTTGGCTCCCTATTGAATTTCTATCGCCCCCCACAGACACATATAAAATTATACGCATCTTTCTTGAAATTTAGTACGCGGCAATTTTAGAAGATAAAGGTTAAACACAAATGTGTCTTTTACAAATAGAACCCCATTTAGTGAACCAATATGTTTTTAAGCTGTTTTAACTGTTTGAGCCCTAGAAACCTAGGACGTCTTGGGCAAATTTACGGCCGGACTCGTGTCCGGTCGCACGACCAATCTCCAAATTCAATTATCAAGTAATATCTCCCAAACTAATGAACGCAGCTCTATGAAACTTGGAACACGTATTCATCAGAACCTAACGGTGATGTTAGCTCGTAAAAATTTTAAATTTCACCTTCATTCGTGAGTTATATTGCGATAAANCACATGTTCACCATAACGCATCACATGTTCACCATAACACATCACATGTTCACCATAACGTGCCACATGTTCACCATAACGCATCACATGTTCACCATAACACATCACATGTTCACCATAACACATCACATGTTCACCATACCGAAGCTCCGGGGAAATGTACATTAAAATAGCCTGAACACGAAGTTGAGATTGACAGTAAAGCTGTGCCGTCAATTAACATAAAAACTTTGAAGAAAATCTAAGAATGTCTGTAAAAAAGTTGCCGTGGAGTTTAGAATGAAGAAAGCTATTCGCGCGGTGCTTAATTAACAACTTAAGTTTGATGGGCCAACTTTACGAGGCTCTTCCGAGGTCCCGAGGTTTGCTGAGTGAAACAAACTTGGTTTATCTTATCCAATGTTGAAAATAATTATTATTTTATAATATAATCGTAAAAGTTTAATTTTTCTGAGAACGAAGAAAAGGTTTTACCACTATTCTCTGGAATTTATATTCTGTATGAAATACAGAAGAGCTTTATGGACGAATCTCGTATTGTTCAAAGAGTGTAGAGTTAATGAGAGGGAATGTAGAATTGTTTACGAGATATTATTATAAATAATTGCTGCATGAGGGAGCCAAACCTGGAAGGTTTAAATAACCTTTACCTGAATTAACGAAAACGTGAACGTTCTAACGAGTCAGTAGACTTTTGCTGACTCGAATTATACTTAAATGTCTCGTCAGTCATAAATGGCTAATGAGTCAATAGTCTTTTAGTGACTCGAATTATACATACATAACAACGAAGACAGGATGGAACCTGAATTTTCAATCAAGTTCCTTGAATGGGAACTTTTCATAAAAGGGAAACGAAAGTTAAAAATTTATCCTATAGTGTCAGCGCTGCATTTTTCCCGTTGAATATTAGACTGTTATACTATTACTCCACTTTACAATAGGTTCCTAAATGTCCAAACTTATTTGCACAACCATAATTTTCTTTCAAATATTTAAATTCAGCTACTTTGAAAAGAGAACAAACAAAACGCATCGGAAATACATATCTTAAGCCTTCAATAAAGTGTTGATGTGAATAGAGATTTCTCACATCACAGGGAAAGAGGCCGGGACTTCCTTTAGATGTGGGAAAATGAGCGAAGAGATCTCCTTTCTGGGACGATTGTTCAGGGTAAACATCCCGCAAAATTACCCGGTCTCCGGCCACCGAAATGAAGGTGCGAAATTTAGTCGCTTCTTGGTTAGAGGCGCATCTTGAATAATGGGCTGACCTTATTTTTTGAGTGTCTTCAGAACATGTAAGTCTATATGATAATTAGCAAAATATTTGTTCTGCGCCAGGTTGTTTAGCAACGTATCTGTCAAATAATTTGTTAGGTTATGTAGGGAGCGACATCATTGCCAGTCGGCCATAAACAATGAAGCATAAGCGCATGCAAGATAATCAACATCATAACAAAAAGCGCGTGTATGTCGTTATACATCGCAATAAGTGAATGAATGGCAATAACCGAACTTTCGGAAATGATAAGCAACATAATGTTGACAAGTTGCAGCAGTTGGTGGCATGACAAGCAACCCTGAGTTGAATCTCCACTGACTGGGAATGTTCAGCTCACCACTGACTGGGAATGACACCTGCACTCCTGCCACGCACACCTGCACTCCTGCCACGCACCTGCACTCCTGCCACGCACCTGCACTCCTGCCACGCACCTGCATGCGTGTGCGTGTTGCAGGCACCTGCACGCACTCTGTCAGCCAGGAGGAGCCCTTGCTCCTGCACTGCTGCCACAGCACCTGCAGCGCCTCCTGCAGCGCTGGTCCTGAATTTCCTGTGTCTGCACCAGCACAAAATTGCCACAATTTTTTATAATTAATTTCAAGAATGAAATCAAGCAAATTAATTTGTCATTAAATTCTGGCCGCACGAGCAGAAAATGGGACAATTTTTTCAATTCATTTCATTAATGAAATCAAGATAATTTATTTTTCTTAAAACCCCTGGCCAATCTGCTTTAATAAAAATGAATTACAATGAATCAGACCCATGATCGGCTCGTTTGAATGTCTTCATATAATTTTATAACAAGTTGCATGTTTTTCAAGTTGCATGTTTTTCAAGTTTTATGTTTGCAAGTTTGTTCAGCGCACATATACGCACATATGCAGCTTATCCTGCAGAGAAATACAATAATTTGTTAAATTTGTAGCATATTTCAATTAGGAAAAAGTTTAAATAATATCTTTGATAATTAAAGTTATTATATAGGCAAAAATTCCTATTAACTATTCAAATCTGCAAAATTGCAGAGTTTATTTATTTTGACAACAGGGTTTTCAGCATAAAAATTATACCGTTTTTGCTCTGGTTTCTATTTACTTGCATAGCCCATTTACATGCATAGCCTATTTACATGCATAGCCTATTTACATGCATGCATAGTCAAGCGTACAACGTACATCATGCATTGCTTCACATACAACGTACATCGTGCATAGCTCTATGTCATGTATGTGTGAGAATCTTAAATTAAACATAGTAAATGGATTTATTTGCATAGATCTAAATCGTTTACACGAGAAATTCCTTCAACAATTTATTTCCAATTAATTTCGTCATTTTATTTTCATTGTTAACCCATGTTAACAGTCCAATTAATGCCAGATTAAATGATGGAACATGAAGCAAAATTTTAATGGTTGCTGAACTAAAAATTTATATTTATTTCACTGCAAAAAATTACAAATTTCATAAAAATCCTGCAAAAACCCAAATGAAATGGCGTGGGACTCTTGTTTGTACAGGGCGAGGGGAGAAGCCAATAACCGCGAGCCTTTCTGATGGTGGAGAGTGAGGGGAGACGGGGCTGTGTAGTGAGGGGAGACAGTGCTGTGTAGTGAGGGGAGACAGGGCTGTGTAGTGAGGGGAGACTATACACATCTAGATGTGTATAAGAGACAGGCTCACCACTGACTGGAAATCACCACTGACTGGGAATGTACCACTGACTGGAAATGTTCAGCTCACCACTGACTGGGAATGTACCACTGACTGGAAATGTTCAGCTCACCACTGAGGCCACAGTGCATCTCATCGCTGGCGTCAGGACAGTCGGACATTCCGTCGCAGATCCATTCTTCCAGCAGCGGCCAGCCGTCCATACACGACAGTTCGATGGACGGCAGATCATCGGTGGCCGCCTCTGCGTCGTCCACCTCCGCTGTGGACGCTAACGCCACCGATAAAATGTCCGAAACAGACGACACTAATAGGAGGAAATAAGTTAATTGATTTTTGACTGGGGAAAGGATTTTGAAAATGAAAATGGACATGAATGAGAATGAACGAAAATTAAGGTATCGGTAAAAGTAAAAGAATTTCGAAGCATCCGTTATTTGTAATGGGGAGGAAAATAAGTTAATGGATTTTTTATTGGGGAAAATAACTTGGAAATGAAAATGGACATGAGAATGAACGAAAATTAAGGTATCGGTAAAAGTAAAAGAATTTTGAAGCATACGTTATTTTTAATGGGGAGGAAAATAAGTTAATTTATTTTTTATTGGAGAAAGGATTTTGAAAATGGACATGAATGAGAATGGACGAAAATTAAGGTATCGTTAGAAGTAAAAGAATTGCGAAACGTTGGACATTTGTAAATGTTCAGCTCGCAGTAGCAAAGCAGGCGTGTAACGTTCTTTAAAATATTAAAGATTGAATTTAACTTAGATTTAACGCTTTTTTCAACTTTATTTGCCGGGAGGCAATGTTTCAACATCAACAAATTACTTAATTAAGAAGTTAAATCACCGCAGTTTTGTTCGTCTTCGCCGCCCTTGCAGTCGTCGTAGGAGTCACACCGCCAGTCCTCAGATATCATCGTCCCGTCCGCGCACCTGAACTGCCCGCCTGATGCATGCAACAAATTATGTGCATTTCGAGGGAGGACTCAGCAAAATATATATCAATAAACAAATATAAAAAAGATGATATATCATATAAACAAAATAAGGGATAAATTGGGAATACAGTTAATAATACTGCCCGCCTGATTCATGTAAGAAATAATGTGCAATTCGAGGGAGGACTCAGCTAAATATATATCAGCAAACAAATATAAAAAAAGATGATATATCATATTAAGAAAATAAGGGATAAATTGGGAATACAGTTAATAATACTGCCCTCCTGATTCATGTAAGAAATTATGTGCAATTTAAGGACCCGGCAAAATATATATCAGCTAACAATTATAAAAATGTTGAAACATCATATTAACAAATTTAGGGATAATTAAGAATACAGTTTTTGCTGAATTTAGGATAGTGATCAATATTTTCAATTGTGGCTTAGATCAAGAATACAAAAGTTGATATGACAAAGATATTACAACTCAAGTTTGTATTAATAAAGTTTAAAATTTGCAGAAACATTAAAAAGTATCAAATCCAGAATCCAGTATGCAGAAAATAAGTTCTCGCGCACGAATAACATCACAAAAATCCCATTCATATCGCAAAAGTTATTTATTTCACATATGCTCTCCACAATACCCAATCCTTCATAATGGATTACGACGAATAAATCATAAACAATCTAAACATTTAATAATATAATAATTTCCATGTACCCTAACATTTACTAGTCTGACGCAGCAATATTTTAATGAGAAAAAGTCGCTGCAACGAATATTTGATCATGTTTATACATATATAACACATTAATTTAGTCATATTTAACTGGAAAACTTACGCTGCAATGAATAAAAACTAAAGCCGAGCTTCTTACCGTCGATCTCGCCGCGCTGGTTCATGGCCTTCCAGAAGACGTTGCGGGGAGCCTTCTTGTGGTCCGCGGACCTCGCGCTTCTGTCCAGCCCAGCGGGGGGCGTGAATGGAACTGTAACGAGCGATATATAAGTTGGTACATTCAATTTATACACTTAATTGCAGTCATTTTATCACAACTTTTGTGTGTATAGATTGCCGTCATACGTTTTTCTTAAAAAAATTTTCTGTCTATGCCGGCGGGGGGCGTGAATGGAACTGTAACGAGCAATATATAATTATTGGTACATTCAATTTATACTCTTAATTGAAGGCATTTTATACAACGTTTGCGTTGATAGATTGACGTCATACGTTTTTCTTAAAAAAACTTCTGTCCGGCCCAGCGGGGGGCGTGAATGAAACTGGGACGAGTTCTATGTAATTATTTGTCTATTCAATGTATAGACTTAATTGCAGTCATTTTGTGACAACTTTTGCGTGAATAGATTGATGTCATAGGTTTTTCTTAATAACTATAATGGGTTCTAATCTGGTCAAATGACGTCTGGACCACATTCGAATATTGCACGGTGTTTCGAAAAAACAATATTAGTATTAACTTGATGCTAGTACTTCTGATAAGTTCTTCGCTTAATATTATCATCGTGAATAACTCTTATAATCATCGATTTGCCCCGAAATTACCGGTGTTACAGCGAATTAATAATAAAGGCTCTTCCATTGCTGCAATCGTAGGCACTTATTTTTTAGGCTTCGATATCCGCCAAAGCAGAGGCAAAATTTTACAAAATTCCACTATGGTTGAACTTTTCTGAAACAGTTTTAAGGGTTAAGGTTTAAGTTTAGAAACAGTGACGACATTGATGGCTCCTGTGGGGCTGGAAACTACGTATAAAATAACGTGATTACTGCATTTTAAAACGCTGTCTCGGTGCTCGTTATTAAAGGTAGCGGGGTATGGATGACAACTAAAAACTCTGGATTCCTATAGAATTTCATGATTCTTCAATGTAAATTTAAAATTAGAAATTCGAAAATATTTTTTATGCGAGCTGTTCAGAAGTACTTTTTTGGTTCGTACTTTACTCTTAAATAATTGTCCTAATGGTAAAAAAATTTGGTTGCAAAGCACACTAAGCAATAGCGTCATGTAAGTTTGTACCAAATGCAATGTTAAAAACTGTGTTGTTTTCGAGTAATAAACACGATATTTCTTTTTAAATAAAATGTACTATGCTAAAAAAACAGACCCTAATGATGTTCACCACTTATTAACAACCACCCAATTCACCACTCACCCTTGTTATTAACGACCACCCAATTCACCACTCAACCACCCAATTCACCACTCAACCACCCAATTCACCACTCACCCTTGTTATTAACGACCACCCAATTCATGCCACCCATGGGAGGCTGTGTCATGCCACAGAAGGTGTCATGTGCATCACACCACCACTGTGGTGCACCAGCACCATACCGCAGTACCTCCAGCGCACCGAAGTGATGAGACTCCAAGTGACTGGAGTACCTGGAGAGATGGGTAATGTGGTGTACATGGGGAGATGGGTAATGTGGTGCACATGGGGAGATGGGTAATGTGGTGTACATGGGGAGATGGGTAATGTGGTGTACATGGGGAGATAGGTAATGTGGTGCACATGGGGAGATGGGGAGATGGGTAATGTGGTGTACATGGGGAGATTGGTAATGTGGTGTACATGGGGAGATGGGTAATGTAGTGTACATGGGGAATAGATTTACAATAACTTTAATTCTATCTATTGTAACTCTAATCGAGCTACTTCATTTAAAACTGTAGTTTTAATATTCAAAAATTAAGTCCAGAAACCAAAAGTGAAGTAGTTATAAACTTGTAAATTTTCAGCTGCATAATTCAAAGAGAACAAAAATGGCAGAAGTCCATTTTTCAGTTTATGTAAAAGCCAGATGTGACATTTAAATGTAAATGATTTGATGTGACATTTAAATAGCCTTTCGATTGGTGGGCGTAAAATGCAAACTTAATCTGATCGACTTCGTTAAATTTATTTTGACTAAAAAGTAATTAAAAGCGATAAAAATAACAAATAAGAAATAAATAGAGATATAACAATTACAAATTAACAAGCTATGTTCACAGAGACAAGAAGTATTAAGTAATGCACTCGTAAAGACAACCTATGAAATAATGCTGATGTTATATTATTTAGAAGTAAAGTAGAAATATAGTTTGGCGATTTTCTTAACCGAATATGTCAAATCTTAATAATTAATTCGTAAACTCAAGCGCTTCAGATTAGTAAGAGTGAGGAACTCCTCCCGGAATTCTAAGCTCAAATTAAATGCCAACCTCTAATAAATAATATATTAGTTATCTTAATAATTAAGTTGTAAACTGAAAAGCTTCACATTAGTAAGAAAGAAAACTCCTACCGGAATTCTAAGCTTTAATTAAATATCAACCTTTAATAAATAATGTATTAGTTATCTTAATAATTGATTTGTAAAGTCAAGCGCTTCACATTAGTAAGAGTGGGGAATTCCTACCGGAATTCTTAAGTCTAATTAGATGTCAATAATAAATAATATATTAGTCATCTTAATAACTAAGTTGTAAACTCAAGCGCTTCACATTAGTAGGCGTGAGGAACTCTTACCGGGATTCTAAAGTCTAATTAAATGTCAATAATAAATAATATATTAGTCATCTTAATAACTAAGTTGTAAACTCAAGCGCTTCACATTAGTAGGAGTGAGGAACTCCTACAGGGATTCTAAAGTCTAATTAAATGTCAATAATAAATAATATATTAGTCATCTTAATAACTAAGTTGTAAATTCAAGCGCTTCACATTAGTAGGAGTGAGGAACTCCTACCGGACTTCTAAGCTCTAATTAAATGTCATACTCTTAATAAATAATATATTAATTATGTTAATAATTAATTTGTAAACTCAAGCGCTTCACATTAGAAGGAGTGAGGAATAATAAATAATATATCAGTGTCAATAATAAATAATATATTATTTATCTTAATAACTAAGTTGCAAATGCAAGCGCTTCAAATTAGTAGTAGTCAGGAACTCCTACCGGAATTCTAAAATCTAATTAAATGGCAATAATAAATAATATACTAGTTATCATAATAATTAATAATTAATTATAAACTCAAGCGCTTCACATTAGAAGTAGTGAGGAATCATAAATAATATATTAGTGTCAATAATAAAAAATATATTAGTTACTCAGAAGCGTTCATAGCGGGCGGAGATGTACGACAAGGTCCTGGTGACGCCCTGAGAGCGATGTCGTCGAGATATATCCTGGACTCTGTGCCTGCTGAACCTGATCTCAGGATGATCTAGGGGAGGGGTAAAGTGAACGTTAGGATTATTTGTTGCATTGGTTAAGAATCATTATTAAAAATCAACTGTACTTTGGAATACTGTCTGAATTCTGATGATGTAGAAGTATTTGTTGCAATGGTTAAGAATCATAATTAAAAATCAACTGCAATTGGAATACTTTACTTTGGAATACTGTTTGAATTCTGATGATGATCTAGGCGAGAAATAAATTGAACGTTAGAATTATTTGTTACAATGGTAAATAATGTCTTTCAATGGTAAAAAGTTAATTCATACGGATAAAAATTGCGCATTAATAAAGGAATGTTCAATTATTTCATGCCATGAATGGTCGAAAAAACTCTAAAACTGATGTAAGCGGCTTCAGTAAAAGCTCCTTTTCTTGGTTATAAAGATGAGGATAAGAAAAATTTACATAAGGTATCATGGAATTACTCGTAAACAGTGAAATAATTTTAGGTATGAATGAAATTCTACACCGCTGTTGGTTATGTAGGAAATGTATTCCAAGTCATGAGCTTATGAATGCAATCGAGTAATGTTGTGCATGCCATCCATTTAGCACTGCGTGCTGCGTGGATCTTTTTCTCTGTATGTTAATTATTTATCCGATTATAATATTGTTGTTTCCGTCATACTTTTATCTTAGGTTTTTCTTAGATAACGAGTACATTTCTTCTTTAGGTGAAGATTTTATTCCTGCACCTGCACTCCTGCCACGCACACCTGCACTCCTGCCACGCACCTGCACTCCTGCCACGCACCTGCACTCCTGCCACGCACACCTGCACTCCTGCCACGCACCTGCA